GTTTGACGACTTGCAAAGTTGGGCCGTGTCTAAACGGAATCACCCAAGGCGGTTTACATGTGGTTTACCCCGAAGCCGGTTTCAAGTGGCTCCATGTGAACGCTCCGAAATCACATTGAAAGCGCTTCGATCCCAAGCCACTTGTCTTCTAGAGGTGGTTTCGAATCGGTTTCCCCGCATCGCGATTTGCGTCTGAACGCAATGTGATTTCAATGTGACTTCGCCTGGTCATGGATTACGGAGTGATATTTCTTTTTTTATATGCAATACCAACTTTTACGTGGCTGCAACTTAAAGAGCAGTAATGGTCAAATAATGTGTCCGTTCTAGGGCGAGCTTCACCGCCTCTGGCGGGATCACGTCGGCATTCGACCGAGATACGCTGGGAGGGGGGCATCGGCAAGCAGGTCGTTGACCTCTGACATTAATAACACGCCGCCTTGCGTGTTATCATCAAACAGCAATAAATGTAGCTCAAGCGCATTATGTTCGGACACGGTTTCACAGGTGTGTATGGCACGTGGACCAGATGTGAGGAATGTGAGTTACCCGAATCGCGGTTTGGGTGATTCCGTATAGACACGGCTAAGACATTACAGTTAAACTCCCACCACCTGTTTAGTAAGTATCAATCCCCTTTTGATGGTAATCCAAAGGCCCCGCTGGTTCCTATGATAAGACTCAAGCTTGTCAGTCTACCGCGCAGTAAGGCCATGTTGATTTAATTATATGGATGACATTCTCTGGCAATACCCGAACTGATGCGAGCGTGCAAATAAAAAAATACTTTGGCTTTCATTATGAAATCTACGTGGTCATGAAGATTGACACAGAGTATGGTATGGTGGATAATCTACTCTTCAAATTCATTTCTTTACTTTTCGTCTTTTTTGTTTGATTTTGGCATTCTACGACATTGGTATCGTTTTCCAATATTTTTATGCAACTTATGGTATATATCTGCTCATTTTTCAACTGTTTTGTACGAATTACAGATGGTTGAAAACTTTTTTAAACGGCCTAAAATTCATATGCGCGCGGATGTCATCCATATAATCAAATGAACATGGCCTAAGACTTTACCGTCTACCGCACAGTAATTTCAGATAGAACCAGATACAATCAACATATCTAACATTCTAGTTCTTGCATTCTGTACGAGTAACCGACAGGTAATTATGGCTGTAACGGATAAGGATCATATTAGGTAGACTGTTGATGTAAAGTTGACCTCCTCCCTGGATGAGATACGTGATCCATTGTTGAAAGTGGAAAGGTATCATTTGCAAAGCAAATGCATAATGCTTACCTTCACCTTCACATATGGTCTACTCTGTTAATTCTTATTCAAAAACATTCGTATACATATGGTCTGGCAGGAGTGAAAATCCCTTCGGCTATAAAATTGCAACATGATGTAATCCAACAATAGTTGACATGATGACAGACGTCTGGTTCAGGTCATTGCCTTAGCTTATTTGTTTGGAAAAGAAGAAGAAACAGCAAAAAACAATGTGTTTTCCTTCGGTAGACATAATGAGGAAAGCGAACTGGGGATTATCGGTAAAGCCCCTTTCACACATTCAGAACCTTGCCCCAAACACCAACGGACCAAGGTCTGGCTGTACGATTTACAGTATTGTCGAAACCTTTATTTTTTGGAAATGGACGAAAATTCATGCGCGGATGTCATCCATATAATCAAATCAACACGGCCTTACAATGGACAGGTCTAGATAAGAAGCTCAAAGCTAGTTAAGCTGGTTACCCTACCAAGGCTAAGCTTGCAATCGCGTGATTTCTGATAGGATTTAGTGTGTTTTTACCCGAGAGTTAGCCGACTGTTGAAGAGGATTTAAGCCCTCAGTCACACATTCACGAATTTGGCCGCCTGAATATGGTTAGGAGTAGGCCGGCTCTAGGTTGAAAACTTTTTTTTTGAAAACGGAGGAAAATTCATGCGCGAAGGGATGTCTTTAATATAAGTAAATCAACGTGACCTTATGCTGAGGCCACATTTCCAACCCGGGGCCCGGCCGGGCAGTTTCTGAGAACGAAAAGTATGACATAAAACACCAAGACACAATAATTAAGTTTGCAACAATTGATTATGAGCACTATATGTACATATTCTTGATATGAATTGTTTACTTTTCGTTCACGTAAACAGCCCGGCCGGGCCCCGGGTTGGAAATGTGATCTCAGCATTTAGCAGAGAAATATCATGTTGTACATGCGTTTAAAGTCAGGCACTAATGATATATACGTATATACACAGTGCAAACATTTGAAAAAGCTGTTCAACCTTCTCTCCGCTTGCTCAACAGAATTTTTTACATTTCTTGCTATAGATAAATTTAATTTCATCCTAGAAGGTAATGACCCTAACTGTGTACAAGTAGGCAAATATATCAAAGAATGTTTAGACCTTAGAACAATTAGTATAAGTTGACTCATCTATTGTCTTGTACGTAGGTTAATTTCGTTGTACCTATGCATTTGTCTGTATATCTACATGTCTTAGACCTTACGAAAGTCGCTGTACTTTTGTTGTGTCAATAAAGTTCTTTGAACGTCAAATTAGTTATAAGACAACCATGACATGCCAGCGCGTTTTTCCTTTTCTTATTCCTCAACATGTCAAACCTTCCTTTCCTTTAGTTTTCTTTTGTTTCATTTGTCAAGACTCTAAAGAACTCGGACAACAACCCTTTAAAATCATAGCTCAGTGTTACATCGTGTTTAATATGGGCATTGACTACTGAAGACACCACTCAAGTCAAGAAAAAAATGTCTCAAAGTAATTGGAATGTCCTGACCATGCAGCTATGGTCTATGTATGGGGCCATGTGGGCACACACGGTGAGGGGCATTGATCGATCACCAAGGGCAGTGTCATCAAGAAATATGATACAGGATTCATATTACTTATTAATATCTCATGGGAAAATAATTTCTGAACTTGAGCTAAGTCCACAGCAAGTAATTTTTATGGATGACATCAACGCGCGCATTAATTTTTGCCTAATTTCGGAGGAAAAAACAAGAAATTTTGTTGCCTTCTGACAGTGGTCACCATGCCGAAAATGGGCAAAGATGTCTGTTGCCATGCCGAAAGGTGGATGGCAGAGAGGAGACAAGAAAAGGCTCTGATTTAATATTTTGTTTCTTACTTTGATGCAGTGATATGTGATGCTGACTGTGTACTTAGTAGATGTGATGTTCCCACTGAATCAAAACTATTTGTACCATGATTGAGTCAAAATTTTAAAATGTAGGAACCTTGTTTTTTCGACGCGCCTTGTTTTTTTTCGCCCGCATGCATCAGATTTGGAGTCTGCGGAGGATGTCATCCATAGAATGTACTTGCTGTGGCCTACGGGATATAAAAGGAGCAAGCAACAAAGAGGTAACTTTTGATTGAAGTACGGAAAGAAGGGTTTTGTGAAATGAGTTGGCCCGGAATGGCATTGGAACAGAGCCAATGGTCTTCTCATTTTCACTGCTACAGACTTACTATTGTTGGTGGGGGCCTCAGATATGCAGGAGCGTTTCAGAACACTGGAAAGGGTACAGAACCAAGCTGCAAGATTCTGCACGAACAACTATCAAAGGGGCGCTACGTAGTGTTACGGAAATGAAAAGAAACCTACAGTGGGGGTCGCTGGAAGACAGACGTAGAATGTCCAGACTGTGCATGATGTACAAAATGACTAATAAACTGGTGGACGTACCGACCACTAAGTATCTGATACCAGCCCAGAAAAGAACGAGAAACAGCCATGCCTTCAAATATCAGAGTTATCAACCAAGAATTGAGATGTTCAAAAACTCGTGTTTCCCCAGCAGAACTATCGTAGACTCGTTGCCACCAACCACAGAAGGGGCATCATCACTAGAAAGCTTTTTTCGCCCTATTGCATAAGATTTGGAGTCTGCGGAGAATGTCATTCATTTAAACTATTTGTTGTGGCCTTAGGCCATGTTGATTTGATTATATGGATGGCATTAGCGCGCGCACGAATTTTCGGCCGTTTCCAAAAAAGTTTTAGCCATACTGTAAATGGTACAAAACAGTTGCAAAATGAGCAAATATATACCGTAAGTTGGAAAAAAGCACTGGAAAACTATACCAATGTCATAGAAGGCCAAAACCAAACGAAAAAGACGAAAATGTAAAGAAAAGAATTTGAAGACTACATTGTTCGCCAAACCATACTCAGTGTCATTTGTTCAACCTTCAAAACTACGTAGATTTCATAATGAAAGCAACTTTTGGGGGGGGGGGCAAACTTTTTTTATTCGCACGCTCGCATCATTTTTGGGGTTCCCAGAGGATGTCATCCATATAATCAAATCAACATGACCTTAGATTGAATCAATAGAGATGGTAACACACATGACACGGGGTGTGGGAAGGTACAGTGTTGGCAGTGTGATAAAGAATCCACGTAATTGGCCGGATATGACAAGGCAACATTCGATCTATGTAAAGTCTATTGCTTATCCAGCAAGCGTGGATTATTGGACGCCCTCTTTGAACCTGTATAGAGGCCGTTCCCATCTAGTTGCATGAGGTCTGAATAATATGATACTATTGCCAGTATTTAAAATATAAGCGTGGGGTCGTGCGGCGTGGCGGCAGCGTGCTCGACTCGGAACTAAGAGGTCCCGGGTTCGAGTCCTGAAATACCACCGATCTTGTGCCCTTGGGAAAGCTAAGCACATTACACGGCATTCCTCACTTAACTCAGGTGGAAATAAGTAGCGTATTGACCTATGTTGGTGGCGGCATAAAAATAAGTTCAAAAAACATGACTGCTGTCACCATGAAAAAAAGTCAACATTCCATACTCAAGAAAACTAAAAAACAGGAATTCTGAGACTCCAAATCTCCGGGGAGCGTATAATGCATAATGTTCACAACGACTTCTCACTATTTCAGACATCACATTAGGCCATGTTGATTTCATTATATATGTTTTTTAGTTTCAAGATGGCGGCGAGGCAGACGCGTCTGTCGGGTCGCTCCGCTTGAACTTGTATTTTTCCCTACCTTTACGACAATTTTGCGCTTATAAACGCGTCTTGATTAATACGATAGGTAAATACATCCAATATCTTGACAGTCTTGCCAAGTTTATTGGATTTGAGGTGTTATAGAGGCGAAATTTCTGCTTGAAAATATCGGCAACAGTTGAACAAAGACCCAAGCCGTCGACCCAAGCGACAACATGGAAACCGACGCCCGAGCACCCGGAGAGCTTTATCGGCTCCTAGGGACGACCACTGATGCCACAGAGGAAGAAATCGTCCATGCGTACAAGGAGAAAGTGAAGATCTACGAGAAGACCACAAACACAGCTAAGGACAAGCGTCTGTTGAATACAGCCCGACAACAGTTTGGTGAGGTAAGCAAGGCCTTCTATACGCTTTCGGACAAACATCGACGGGAACTCTATGATCAGACGCACCAGATAACTGAGCCTGCTACACGTGACAGGAAAACAAAACCAAATGACGAGTATTTCGTGCAGTTTAACAAGGAAAGCGTAACTGTACATTTACCTGTGGGATCGTCAAAACAGTGGGTAGACGCTATCGAGACGCACTACGGAACAACTACAATCGACAAAGGGAGAAATGGCCACCAGCTGACTGTTCCGTTTCTCGAGTCCGATTCGAACGAAGCAGTAGGATCAGTTACCTTACATGTGTATCAAACTTGTAAGATACTTGTTCAAGGATCGGCGTACTTTCTGTGGACGAAGTACACTTTCGAACACTTAAAACCACTGATCCAGTCACTGACGGTCGCCGGCTCCGACGTCCGATGCGAGGACACGGTTTGTAGCGAATGTAACCGCCCGGGCCCAGAAGACGAGGGGGTTATACAGTGCAACGCATGCCACAAATGGTATCACTATGGTTGTACTGGACTACACGAATCCTCTCTCGGTGAGCTTATCCAGAATGAAGACAGTGAATATGTGTGTAATGTATGCGTTACGGATAAGTCCAAACCGCCAGGCCCGACTGACGTGAGTTTGGTAACTAATCATGAGACATGTGTGGAAACCGTCCCGACGGTGTGTGAGGAAACCGTTCCGAAGGTACCTGTGGATGACGGGAATAACAACAGAACCACAACATTACCTCAAAACACTGAAACTAGAAATGATGACAAAATCACATCGCTTCAAAACAGCGTGGACAAACTTGAAGCAATACTCAGCACCAGAATCACAAAAGAAAACAATGCTGTAGCCATGCTGTCTGCGCGCATTACAAACATTGAAGACACCCTATTGTCTAAGACAAAGGTCGCGCTCCACGACAAGACGGCAAAGGAAAGTGACGTTGAGGTGCTAAGAAGACGTGTGAGATCCCTGGAGACAGAAAACAAAAACTTGAGACAAAGAATAGCGGCCCTGGAGGAGAAAAGTGTCAAAAGTGCAGTTTCCATAGCAACACAAAGTGACACAACAGCAGCTCCACAAGCACCGAATGAAGACGAACCAGGCAACGAAACTGTTGTACCCAATATTCAGACAAACAACAGGTTCCTCCCTCTAACGGAAGAGACAATACCCCAAGAAGAGCAGACAACAAACAGTTCTGAGAGGACAACCAGCCCACACAACGTCAATAGACCACAGAGAGGCGCGCCTCCCAACCGGCGTCACCAGGCCAGCGAAAACCAGTCTCAGACAGACATAGTCATAGTGGGAGACTCGAACACAAGGGGTATAATCCCAACAATGCTGTACCCCGGTAAGAAAGTCGCAAAATACTCAGCAATGACTATCCCTCAGGCTTCTGCCCTGATCAAAAACACCGCTGACCTTGACCCAAAATGCATAGTCTTCCACGTGGGGACCAATGACATAAGACAAGAGAAGGCAGCACACGGGGTAACAGAAAACCTCAGAGAGTTAGTGACCACCACACACACTAAGTACCCTAATGCAGCTATCGTTATGTCCACGGTCCCACCCAGGAACGACAATCACTTGATGGAAGTGACACGCGATGTAAACTCCTTCATTCAGATTCTTGGCCAGGAGACCCCTTTCATTACCATTGCAAACAATGACAACCTCGGAGATGGTAAACTGATCAAACAATCCCTCTACCGACCTGATGGGTACCACCTCAACACAGGAGGACTAAAGGTCTTGGCAGCTAATTGGAAGACTGCCATCCACCCAAGTGTAGGTCTCGGGATCTACGACAGGAGAAGACGGAATAACGTCACACCTGTTCAGCCAAGAAACGGAAGAGTACACCGTACATCCCGCGACCAACCAAGAGACGGAAGGAACAGCGGTACTCCTAACACTCGTACCGTAAGCCCAACATCGTCCTCACAAACAAGCAGAGACAACGGACGCAACACGGACGACGTGCAAACTCCAAGGAGTGACGAGGGTTACAGGGCAACTAACCGGCTCCCCCCTGATCCCCGTAATAGGGGACCTGCACTCTTCGCCCAAGGACCAGAGGCAGCTTGGCCAACACCGAGGGAAGCTGCCGACAGACGACACCCAGCCAGGAGGCCGCATCCACCGATGGGCCCAGCGCACGAGGCAGTGTGGCCAACACCGAGAGAAGCGGCCGACATGCGACACCCAGTCAGCAGACAGCACCCGCCGAGAGGCCCAGCCATCCCACTACGGCCGTTCTCTCCATACGTCCCCGACTACGAACACTTCTATTCGAACTGGTATCCAGAGACCTGGGGCGTACCACGGCCGTGGTTCTCCCCGGAGTTCCCGCAGAGGTATCAAGACTGGCACGCACGTTACTAACTTGTGCTGGCTGAAGGTATGATGAATTACGTTGTAAACGATGTTTGAAATCGAGACTAGTAATAGGATAACACGTTGATAGTATGGAATAGGAATTCATGTACTAGTAATATGACAATAAGATAAGTTAGATATTAGTTAATGCAGAAATAGATCCATTTTTTCTAACATACCAATATTGTCGTAAAGGTAGGGACAAAGTACTACCAGTATTTACAATTCTAATCTCATGTCAGTGAACATCGGATTTTGGAACATACATGGGTTAGGGAAGAAACTTGAGGACAGTAGTGTTAGGAATAAATTAGATAGTTTAGACTTCTTCTCTCTAATTGAAACTTGGTGCACAGAAGCTTCGGAAGTTGACATCCCAAATTTTCAGCATTTCTCTTCAATAAGACCCAAACATAGAAAAGCTCGACGAAATTCTGGAGGAATATTATTCTATTTCAAAAGCAAACTGGCAAGGTTTGTCAAACGAGAACATGGCACGTCCGAATGTCCAGATTTACTATGGGTTAGAATTTCAAAAAGACCTGTTTGGTTTGTCCAAGAGACATATTTATCTGTAGTGTTTACATAAGCCCAGTGTACTCCGCCATACATAAAAGAACAGATGATAGTATTTTTGTACATCTTAGTAGCGAGATATAGTACACTTTTCCTCCTAGAGGCTACGTCATCCTAGGAGGAGATCTTAACTGCAGAATAGGCGCATTGTTAGACTTTGTCTAATGAAGACCACATTGACACAGAGTTTGATCTAAATGTAGATGCAATTTCTCATGTAAATATCCCACGAAACTTTTGCCGATAAAAGCCATCCAAATGCCTTTGGTAAAATCCTAAGCGACCTTTGTATCCAATCTGACCTACCGCATTCTTAACGGACGGATTCTAGGTGAATCTGAACGGCAAATACACGTGTTACCAACCGAAAGGCTGTAGTACAGTTGACTACGCCATCACTAACAGTTCCCTTCTCCACACGATTAATACTTTCAAAGTTCACACCCTGACCGATGTATCTGACCACTGTATGATTTCTCTGAATATCAGCGCGGACACCTGGTCAGTTAAAAACACAGCATCGCAAAAAAGTAAACTACAGCATATACCGAAACGGTTCATCTGGGGTCCAGACTCCAGAGAAAAATTCCTTAAAGCTTTAAACAGTTCACCTATCTCTAAGAAGATGGAGGGTTTTTTATCCGACAACCATGAACCCAATTTAAACATCGATAATAACGTTCAAAACATTCAAGAAATATTAGAGTCGGCTGCGAAAGCATCGCTACAAATGAAATGTACTAAAAGGACAAGTAGGCCAAAAGCGAACAAGAAATGGTTCGATAAAAGTTGCTACGTCTTCAGGAATGAACTAAAAAACTTGAGATACCTTCTAATACAAAACCCAAAAAATCCGTTTCTGAGAGGTAGCTATTTTAAAAAGAAAAAGGAGTATAATAAACTTATCCGAATGCGCAAAAGAGAACATGAAAATAGTTGTCTAGAACAATTAGCAAATCTACAAGAAAACAACCCCACTGCGTTCTGGAACTTACTTAAAAAACTAAAAAGAGACAATACCACACCCCAAGAAGATATTCCAAGTGACACATGGGTGGAACATTTTAAAGCCCTCCATGATAAATCCAGACAACAACGTCAAGCCTTCGACCTTGCCTTTGAAAAAGATATATTATGCAAATTAGATACGTTGCGGAAAGGTGAGGCAAATCCGAGTCCGCTAGATGACCCAGTAACGGAATTAGAAATAAATAATGCTATACACCTGTTAAAAAATAAAAAAGACAAGTGGAGAAGACATGATAACTAATGAAATGATTAAAGCAGGGAAATCAATCTTACTGGCACCGTTACCATATCATTAGAACAGGTATATACGGGTTATTTTCATTAAA